TTTATAACACCGCAATTAATGTTCTTCTAATCTTTCTGTTTAGGTGACTGTAAATGAGCTTGTCTATACGTTCTCCATCATCTACACCCCAAAACAGGCTTCATATGGTGGTCCTATTGTCAGAAGCAGTGGTGCGGTAGTTGGTATTGAGTGTCATTGTCCAAGGTAATGGCTGAATTCATTCAGGATTACTGGATGTGCTAATATTATATGCACTGTAAAAAGTGACTGCCTGTCTCTTTTATAGAGTGCATAATGTGAGTAGTGATGCCTTAATGCCCACTTGGATCCCATATGCCACTACTCTAGTTGCGGAAGAATTTTTGGTCTTCTCCCTCAGGCTCATGACTGGTTGGTATAATGTACGTGTTTGTATACCAGTGCTTGTGAACCTGGGATAAATTCTTTCTTTGCAGATGACTGGAGATTTGAGCGACCTGCTAACCAGTAATATTTGGGAGAATTCATTAATATTGACGCTTCAGTGAGGTCATATAACCATGTTCCTCTTCGTGTGTTTGTGGACCGCTGTGTGGCTACTTCAGTCCCTGATACAAGTGCTATCCCCAGATACTCATTTATTGAGAACAATGGGTAAGACAAGGTCCTTCAAGTACTGTTCATTTGTGGTGTCCTGTAAGGTCTGAAGGTTTTTATTTCCCTCCACACACATTCTAGGTGCCTAGTTGATGCCAAGCTCACAGGCTCCAGATCTCGATTCATGCCCCGGACACAATTTGACAAGCTTCAGTTTCAGATGGAGGCATTCAGATTCCAAAAAGAGATTAGTGGATTTGTATGTATGTGGATTAGCTGTTTGGGTGCATATTTGGATGGAGTATACAAGTAAACTTTCTCTTTGTAGGTCTATATAACTTGTCTTCTCAAGGTGGCTGCAGCATCCACCCCTACTAATGTTGAGCAGAAAGCTTGCTCCTTCTCTGCTAATCGGTATGTTGCCACTGAATTGAAGTACCCCAATAACGGTGTGAGTATCTAATGCTTGGTTTATTTGACAGGTGGGTGTCTGCCGATGAGGATGATCAGGTGTGTGGCTGCTGTGACACAACCTGTGGCATAAGGAGTGGAAGTGATCCACTTCTTGAAGGCACGTGATTACATTTTTCAAGGCGGAATGTGTAGACCGTATGGTCGCATACTTTTGTAGTGTTTTCACTATTTCTCTTCTTCAGATCTGCAGTGGAATCAAGCATTTGTTGGACCCATCAGAGTCAAGGACAGTTTTGGTCCAATGTAATTTCACTGCAAAATAAATCCTATTTATCATACCGTTTGAGTTTCTGCAACTTTAGTCTGTGGTGGGCAAGTTTCAGGGCTAATGACTTGAGTGTTGTTTTTAGGTGCTAGGAAGCATGTGATGTGAGCAGTCTTTAACCCCCATAGTGTAGTGCAGGGGTCTCCAACCCTGCTCCTGGAGAGCTACCATCCTGCAGACTACGGTTCAACAAACCGTAGAAAATGTTTTTCTACAGGAGGAAAACGCTTAACGAGAGACTTTGTGCATTGCGTTCATATTCCGCTGTTCTGTGTCCACGGATTTGCGGGTCTTGTCTTTTTCTTGCAGGACCCTGTAACTTTATAGTATAAAATGAGTTTTAATTGTTTAATCACCACCACAGCGTCTTGTCTCCATTGGCAACACGCACGATTTGTGTCCATTGCAAGTGACGCAGGTAGCGGAGAGAGCAAGTGGCGATTGCAAGTGACTTCGTAATTTAGTTTATTTTTTCTTGTCTTCACCGCCTGGCTACTGTTGTAAAATGTTGAGAGATTCAAACAAAAAGTAATAAAAAAGCCAGACCCTTCTCGTCAGTTGCCGCGGTGCGTGTCGCTGCATAATGTAGATTGCGTGACACACGCATTTAACGGCAGAACGATATTGAATTAATTACCAGTATGTTGCTGTCAAACATACGATTTATTACATCGCGGAGTTCATGTGTACAACAAATATTGAGTTCCTATAAGATTAAAATGTGTCTTATGCCCCTTAATGAGTATTTTTCATTGTAAATTTATTTCCAGTAGCCAGTGGCCAATGTTAAATTTATACTGACACCTACCGACGTGCATGCAGCATCATACAAAAATAAAGGATTACAGTAACGGATGCAAGTGTTAATGCGGTATTCGTAGTGATAGGTATCGGAGAGTGCAAGTGGCGATTGCAAGTGACTTCGTAATTTAGTTTCTTTTGTCTTGTCTTCACCGCCTGGCTACTGTTGTAAAATGTTGAGAGATTCAAACAAAAAGTAATAAAAAAGCCAGACCCTTCTCGTCAGTTGCCGCGGTGCGTGTCGCTGCATAATGTAGATTGCGTGACACACGCATTTAACGGCAGAACGATATTGAATTAATTACCAGTATGTTGCTGTCAAACATACGATTTATTACATCGCGGAGTTCATGTGTACAACAAATATTGAGTTCCTATAAGATTAAAATGTGTCTTATGCCCCTTAATGAGTATTTTTCATTGTAAATTTATTTCCAGTAGCCAGTGGCCAATGTTAAATTTATACTGACACCTACCGACGTGCATGCAGCGTCATTCGTATAGTGATCCATGATAATTTTTTTCTCGTGTGTATCCTAGAATGGGTAGTCTGCGTGATCACCCACATACAATAGCACTGGTAGGCTATTGCACAACATTCAGTGTCATCTGCCACTCAAATAGAGATGTGCCACACACTGACGTCATGTTAGAAAAACAAATAATAAACTTGTAAATACGTTTAATGGACATTTATTTAAAAATCACTAAATTCAGCTTTTTATGTAGGATTTTTGTGTTACAATTACAGCTGCTCAACTCATCTGCCAGTCACAACTGGAGGCAACATACTGTGTGACATGATCGTGACGATGTCAGTGACACAAGACGCAGTCCATCGGCACATGTCACAAGTTTTACTGACACATACCACTTGAAAACCGGCTGTCCAAATGACACACAGCTGAGCTGTCCAACTTTCATTGGCATGTGTCAGTGGAGAGTGGCATGTATCACTAAAAGTGTCACTAAAACTTGTGACACATGCCACTGTCCACTGACACATGCCACTGAAAATCGGAAGTGCC